CCTTCCCTGCCGTGATCCACCTCCAGCCTTAGCTGGCATCCCCAGGGAGGTCCCAAGATACGCACCCAGGACCTTTCCCATGTGGATTCAGTTGTAGTACCACTGCGCCACCACTTGGCTCCTGGAAACTTGATTTTTAATGGCTACTTGGCTTACTATTTTATTATGATAGATATAGTCAGTACCTTCTTTTTCAGCACATGGGTTATCCCAGTTTTCTCGGGAATAATATGGATACGAACATCTTTCTCTGGCTAGTTCCTGCTACTCTCATTCTGTTCTTCTCATAGGCCTGTAGTGGGATGCTGTCCCACTTTTCCCCTCTGGCTGTCTTCACGCATTTGCACAGTTGGGAACAGGGAATGAAGTAGTAGTTCCACAGGAGGCAGGAATCGGGGCAAAGAAGTGGGCATGTGGTTGTAGGAGCTGATGGAAAGACAGAGGGGCTGCCAGGCCTGGGTGCAGTTTTCAGGATGGGGCAACTTATTTATGTTTGAAATAGAAAGAGGAGAGCCCATAGAAAGAGAATGAAGATATTAGACAAACGTTTCAAAATTAAATGGAGAGAGGGACCAGCAGTTAGCGTAATGGCTATGTCGCTGGACTCCCACATAGTCGACCGTGGTTCGCGTCCCGGACCCGGTGGCTTAAACTCACGCCGGGCGTGTGTGCATGCGTGCCCAAGATCCCGAGAGGAGAATGGAGGAGAAGGGATTGCGGCGTGGCCATCCCCCCTGGGGGGTGATTTCTCGCTTTTTATCTCCCTGTCTGTCTCTGTCTGTCTGGGGAGCGCACGTGCCCTATAGCAAAAACCTCTCAAAAAAAAAAAAAAATTAAATGGAGAGATTATCTATAGGAAAAAAGAAAAAGTCCTTTCTTCAGGGCCTAGAAGGAAGAACAGTAACACAGATTGAACTTTTAACAAACCTCGAGGGTGATTTTTCAAAGGGTTGGAGGGAAGCATACCCTCAGAGTTAGGGTAAGTGGGGAGTTTCTGTTAACTGGCTTTTTCTAGATGGGGTAGGGGGTTATCTGCTGAGGGTAAAGGGAAGAAAGGAAGGAACATTCATCAAGAGAATAAAAAGATTTTGAACTTAAAAAAGAGAAAAGGTCCAAAACAGTATGCTTAGAGATCAAAAAGAATAAAAAAGTGTGAGTCAATAAAAAAAGGCTTTGCCAGGCTGAAGTCAGGCAGCTTAGAGAGCATCCTGTAGCCCAGGTGGAAGGAGCTGGAAGATCTGTGGCGCCCCCATGTGGGGCCTGGGGAAGTCCAGTGTAAAGGACTGTAAGCAGAGGAGAGTGGTGACCTTAGATTAAGTGACTAAGGACTGGAGTTCCTGGCAGAAAGTGTGGCTGTGCTGAGTTCTGATGGAGTGGATGATCTGATGAAGGGAACCCGGTTGTGAAATTATTCCTTAGATCCTGACTAGGGGAAAGTCAGTTGCCTGAAGGGCAGACATGAAGAATAAGTAGAGCGGAGGTGTAGTGTCCAGTATCCCCAGGTCCCCCCTCCCCCGTCTGAGACTTTCCCTGTGCTTCTCAGGTGCTGGTACAGGGCTGCCTTTTGCACCCTTCCCAGCGGGAGGTGTTCCTGCAGCAGGTGTATGAACAGCTCTGCCTCTTCGAAGACAAGGTGGCCACCATGCTGCAGCAGCAGTATGAACCCCAGAGCCAGGTATGTGGGGGAGAGAGTGCACAGAGACCACTGAGAAAGAGGAGCAGCTAAGGACAGAAAGCAGAGAGAAGGGGTGAGCCTAGCAGAGCGAGGAAAGGGCTAAGAGCCGAGGGTAGAGTGAGCCAGTTGATCTGAGAAGGTGATTGTGAATGGCTTCGATCTCCAGACAGTACTTCACACAATGAGGATAAAACTGCACGTACTTGTGGGAACTGCCCTGTCTCCTCACTTTGGACTCCCCACAGGTAGCCAGGGGGTGATTTCTCGCTTTTTATCTCCCTGTCTGTCTCTGTCTGTCTGGGGAGCGCACGTGCCCTATAGCAAAAACCTCTCAAAAAAAAAAAAAATTAAATGGAGAGATTATCTATAGGAAAAAAGAAAAAGTCCTTTCTTCAGGGCCTAGAAGGAAGAACAGTAACACAGATTGAACTTTTAACAAACCTCGAGGGTGATTTTTCAAAGGGTTGGAGGGAAGCATACCCTCAGAGTTAGGGTAAGTGGGGAGTTTCTGTTAACTGGCTTTTTCTAGATGGGGTAGGGGGTTATCTGCTGAGGGTAAAGGGAAGAAAGGAAGGAACATTCATCAAGAGAATAAAAAGATTTTGAACTTAAAAAAGAGAAAAGGTCCAAAACAGTATGCTTAGAGATCAAAAAGAATAAAAAAGTGTGAGTCAATAAAAAAAGGCTTTGCCAGGCTGAAGTCAGGCAGCTTAGAGAGCATCCTGTAGCCCAGGTGGAAGGAGCTGGAAGATCTGTGGCGCCCCCATGTGGGGCCTGGGGAAGTCCAGTGTAAAGGACTGTAAGCAGAGGAGAGTGGTGACCTTAGATTAAGTGACTAAGGACTGGAGTTCCTGGCAGAAAGTGTGGCTGTGCTGAGTTCTGATGGAGTGGATGATCTGATGAAGGGAACCCGGTTGTGAAATTATTCCTTAGATCCTGACTAGGGGAAAGTCAGTTGCCTGAAGGGCAGACATGAAGAATAAGTAGAGCGGAGGTGTAGTGTCCAGTATCCCCAGGTCCCCCCTCCCCCGTCTGAGACTTTCCCTGTGCTTCTCAGGTGCTGGTACAGGGCTGCCTTTTGCACCCTTCCCAGCGGGAGGTGTTCCTGCAGCAGGTGTATGAACAGCTCTGCCTCTTCGAAGACAAGGTGGCCACCATGCTGCAGCAGCAGTATGAACCCCAGAGCCAGGTATGTGGGGGAGAGAGTGCACAGAGACCACTGAGAAAGAGGAGCAGCTAAGGACAGAAAGCAGAGAGAAGGGGTGAGCCTAGCAGAGCGAGGAAAGGGCTAAGAGCCGAGGGTAGAGTGAGCCAGTTGATCTGAGAAGGTGATTGTGAATGGCTTCGATCTCCAGACAGTACTTCACACAATGAGGATAAAACTGCACGTACTTGTGGGAACTGCCCTGTCTCCTCACTTTGGACTCCCCACAGGTAGCCAGGCAAATGGCAGTTCTATGTGCCTGATGACTGGTAATGTAAGTTGATTGGTGTATGAAATATTTTATAATGGTGATAGAAGAGTATGAGAAGGGCCCTCATTGGCAAAAGGCGGAGCAGCGCTGCTTCAGTAGAGTCTGATGTTTCATCTGCTGTGGATCCCCTTCCCATCTGAGGTTCAGTGTCTGAGCACATGTGGGATGGGCACAGAGAATAAGGGCACAGTCAGGACCCGGCTGCATAGCAGGGGATTGGCATGCTCATAGGATTGGGCCTGTCTCGGGACCAGCAGTTGGCGTAATGGCTATGTCACTGGACTCCCATGTAGTCGACCATGGTTCAAGTCCTGGACCAAGTCGCTTAAACTCACCCCAGTCGTGTGTGTATGCATGCCCAAGATCCTGAGAGGAGAATGGAAGAGAAGGGATTGCGGCGTGACCATCCTCTCTGGGGGATGATTTCTCGCTTTTTGTCTCTGTCTGTCTCTGTCTTTCTGGTGAGTGCACGTGCCCTTTAGCAATCCCCCGCCCCCCAAAAAATAAAAAAGAATTGGGCCTGTCTTGCCTGGACAGTGCTGTCCTGTGAATTCTGGCTTTACTACAGATGAGGCAGCAGTGTCATCTATTGGGATCTGTCTTTTCTGTTACTTGGGGCCAGGCAGAGGACCAATCCCCAGACTCAGGAGAGCCACTGGGCCGGAAGGTGGGAGTCTCCATGGTGACGGCTGATCTTGGACTGGTCAGTATGATTCGTCAGGGCATCTTGGCACTGCAGTTACTGCCCTCAAACTCCAGTGCAGGTCAGTAGAAGGAATATTGGTGGGACTGGGGAAACAAAAGGGATTCAGGAAGGGAGAGTATTGTATAGCTAGAAGTTCTGGGGAATTTGTGGGCTCCAGGGAAGACCTGTTTTCTTGTTTGTAAAATATAAGTCTGTATTAGTGCATATTTCAAGTACCCTCAACCCTGACAACCATCAAGGGCCCAAGTGAGAAGTATAGGGCTCCAAGGACTTGATGTAGAGAAAATTGCCCTCTAGCATTCAAGAGGGAGAAGCAGGAAGGAGGGAAGAAGGAGAGGCGCTTGAGGAGGTTTGGGGAGCAGACACTGAAGTCTTTGGGGCCCAGTCAGTTAGGCATCTCCATGTGAATTTAGACTGGCCAATGTCTCCAGTTTGGAATCTGATGTTTACTGCTTTAGGTATCATCGTGATCACAGATGGCGTGACTAGTGTCCCTGATGTTGCCGTCTGTGAGACCCTGCTGAAGCAGCCACTGTGGCTTGTTCCTTTGTGCAGGTAAGGACTCCCTAAAAAGGAGGAAAGGGAACAGGGGTATCTCACAAAGTTGGTCATGGCCAGTTACTTTTTTGCAGGGACTGATTTTCCAGGTAAATCCAATGGCATAGTTACATGAGGCACAGGTGTCATGTCTGCAAAAGGGTAGGTGGCCATGGTGAGAGAAGACTCTCATCTCCATCCTCTTTCCTTAAGATTCAGCAGTAGCTCTGGATGGAAAATCTCATTTTGTGTGCTGTAATGATGTATAGTGAATGAACGTAAACAAATAAATTTAAGTAAAATTTAAAAAAGATTTTGCGATACATTTAAGAACTAACTAAATAAAATGAAATAGATGTACTTTGAAAAAAAAGAAAAGATTCAGCAGCTAGCACGTTACTGTATAAGGAATGGAGAATTTGGAATCCAACAGTCAGTTCCAGCCCTTCTTCATCCATTAGATAAGTCATTATTATCTTAGTTGTGAGGGTCAGAAAAACCTAATTGAAATTTGCATAAGCAAATTGGGGGTGAGAAGTAAGGATATACTGAGGGAACTGTAGCTAATTGGAATTGATAGGCTATAGGGTTGGAAGCAAAACACTATGGGAAACAATCTGGAGGAGCAGGCTGAGCATGAAGAGTGGGTTCTGGAGGCCAGCAGGTGGTGTGGTGCTTAAGGTGCTGGACTTCCACATGGCCAATCACTGTTCAACCAGAGGCTTGAAGATCATGCTGGATGCATGTGCACACATGCCCAAAGTCCCAAGAGGAGAATGGAGGAGAAGGAATTGCAGGGTGACCATTCCCCCAGAGGGTGTTTTCTCACTTCTCTCTGGCTCTTCCCAGCAAGCGCATGGCAAAAGAAAACTAATAAAGGAAAAGAAAAGCAGATTTTGCTATGTTCAGGAGTTCAAGCAGATTCTGAGGGTGACACAGATAGGTGGAAGGAAAGTTACTAGTTGCCCTTATGTTTTAGAAAGGTCACGCTTGCTGCTAGGTGAAGGGCAGACTGGAGGCAGGGAAGCTATTACTTATAGTGGTCAGGTAAGAGAAGATCAGGGCTTAAATTAGGGGAATTAAGAGGTAAGAGGATTGAGAAAATGAAGAGCTAGTGTCAGCATGATTTTGTGGTTAGCATGATGGGGTGGGAGGAATTAAGAATGTCTCCAAGTTTCTGGCTTCATTGGTGACCAGGTGGCAGGCAGAGCACACAGGAAGAGAAACAGTGGGGTAGAGCGAGGACAAGATGATGGATTCAGGTTTGTGCACCTGTGTTTGACGGGCCTATGGTCCAACTTAGTGCAGCAGTTAAGAACGTTACCTTTGGAGTTAGGCATCCTTGGTCTGAATCCTGGCTCTACCTAGCTGTGTGACACGGGGCACATCACTTCCTCTCTAGGTTGGATTCATTCAGGAATGGAGGTTTTAATGGTGCCTACCTTGTGGGTGAGATGATGCCTTTAAAATAGTAAGCAGTAGTGTGTAATTACATAACAAATGGCTTCCCTTCACGGCAATTAGCAGTTGGATATGCAGATCCTGATGCTCAAGGGATAGCAGTAGTTGAGAGGGATTTCGGATTTGTCAGGCTACAGAGGTGGCTCAGTTCCAAAAGAACCTTGTGGGACACCAGTATTTAAAGATCTTTCATAAGAAGAGAGCCCAGCAAGGAATGAAGGGAAATAATTAGATGAGAATAGGAGATTCTGGTGGTGGGGGGAGTCAGGGGTTTTGGAAGAAAGGAGTAGTTAACATTGCGAGTTGCAGCAGAAAGATGAAGTAAAATAAGGAATGAGAAGAACCCTTTAGCTTTGCTGATTAGGTCATGGGACTCTTTTTCATAATTATTTCAGTGAAGAGGTGATAAGGGATGTGGTTGCAGTGGAGAGAAGAGAAAGAAGCGAAGACGAGCATTGACACAGAGATGTAGCTATTCAGAACAGTGGGAAGTGAGAGAACGGGAGCCAGGGAGAGTAGGAGAGGTGTTTTGTTTTGTTTTGTTTTGTTTGAGAGGTTTTTGCTATCGGGCACATGCGCTCGCCAGACAGACAGAGAGAGACAGAGAGACAGAAAGCGAGAAATCACCCCCCAGGGGGATGGCCGCACCGCAATCCCTTCTCCATTCTCCTCTTGGGATCTTGGGCATGCACGCACACGCGCCCAGCATGAGTTTAAGCCACCAGGTCTAGGACGCGAACCGCGGTCAACTATGTGGGAATCCTGCGACATAGCCATTACACTAACTGCTGGTCCCTTGTTTTTTAAGCTGGAGACATAAGCATATTTTTAAGGGGTCATGCTGAAGAAGGGTTTGAAAATGAGGGAAAAGAAAGGAAGCCTGATGGCCTGAAGTCCCTACATTGACAGGAGCGTGTCGGTTCAAGAAACAGATTGAGGGGAACCAGCAGTTGGCGTAATGGCTATGTCGCTGGACTCCCACGTAGTCGACCGCGGTTCGCGTCCCGGACCCGGCGGCTTAAAACTCACGCCGGGCGCGTGTGCGTGCGTGCCCAAGATCCCGAGAGGAGAATGGAGGAGAAGGGATTGCGGCGTGACTATCCCCCCTGGGGGGTGATTTCTCGCTTTCTGTCTCTATGTCTCTCTCTGTCTGTCTGGCGAGCGCACGCACCCTACAGTGAAAATCTCTCAAAAAAACAAAAAAAAAAAAACAGATTGAGGAAAGATACAAGTGAAGGCGTAGATCAAGTCTGCCAAGGGCCTCTGACTTCTCTCCAAGGTGGAGATGAGAACTGTAAGGACGGGAGGCCAGAGTTGGGATGAAGAAGTGTAGACAGCCCTAAAGGACAAGCTGAACAAGGTGTCGTACGTTTGATGTGGTGCCAACCCGTACGGCTTACAGCCTTCTCCATTTGGGCACCATTCGCTAAGTGGAGAGGCTGTGATCCTAGTTGGGGTTTTGAGGGTGAAGAAAGCCAGAGGCCTGATGAAACTGCTGATAAAAAGGAGAGTCAGGATGGTATGAATAGAATTGGTGAAAGCAGAGGTTCAAGACTTGGCAGTCTCAGTGAGGTCAAAGAGCAGCAGGAGGAGAAAACATAAAGAAACTGAAGAGATAAGGCTGTCTGTAGTCAGTGGAATGTGGCAATTTAAAATTGCAAAGATGCATTTGTTCCAGGTGAAGCTAAAGGTCAGCATGTAGCCAGTGGCCAGATGAGTGAAACAAGAAAATTACTGAAGATGATGGTTAGTAAGAAGCCAAGAGTCCAGGGAATTGAATGAATCATTTAGAGCAGTTCGGTAAACATTTTCTGGCAAGGCCAGTAAATATTTCAATAGCTAATAAATATTTCAGCTTTGTGGGCTATTTGGTCTGTCTTAACTACTCAGCTCTGCTATTAGCGTGAAAGCAGCCACAGACAATATGAAATGAGTGGGCGTGGCAGTATTCCAATAAAACTTTATTTACAAAAATAAGTGATGGACTAGATTTGGCCTGCAGGTTATATATAGTTTACTAATTTCTGGTCTGCAGCCTTGTACTCAAAATGTGGCCCACAGGCCATCAGCATTGGCATCACCAGAAAATTCGTTTGAAAGGCAGAATCTTGGGCCTCACCCCAGATCAGCTATATTTTAACACAATCTCCCAGTGTTTCGTAGGCACCCTAAAGTTTGAAAAAGTCTTTGTTACACACCAAAGTCTCTCCAGATAATGACAGGAAGCTAGTTAGCTGGTGCCGAAATCGCTGGACAGGATGAAGGGTGGTGATGTTAAGGAAGAAGGGCAGAGAATGGTGTGGCCAGATGCCATGGTCTTCAGAAAAGGCTCAAGGAGAGACAGCTGCAGAGCAGTGGTTATCATGGGGGAACACTGGCCTGGGAATGGGAGCAGCCCCAGCTCTGCCTCTTCCTCTCCTGTGTTCTTCCTTGTCCCAGGCCTCTGTGGAGCTAAAGTCTCCAACTATTCACTTTCTCCAGGTGGGAGGAGTTTACTCATATGACTGCAGTTTTGGCCACGTGCCCAATGTGGAATTGATGAAGTTTATAGCAATGGCAACATTCGGCTCCTACCTGTCCACTTGTCCTGAGCCCGAACCAGGAAACCTGGGTCTGACTGTCTACCATCGGGCATTTCTCCTCTATTCCTTCCTGCGCAGCGGGGAAGCACTGAACCCTGAATATTACTGTGGTGAGAGGTGGACTACGGTGGGTGTGGGAAGGGGGAATGTAAAGTGGGCCCAGAGATTATGCAAGAGTTGGTCGAAAGTTTGGGTCTCTGGAGCACTGCAAGTACAGCTAGGCCAGCCCGTCTGGCACTGTCCTTTCCCAATGATTTCAGCTGTGTCTGTCTGACAGAGAACTTTTCCCTTCCCTGGCCTCGCCACTTCTCTAGGCTCTCAGCACCGCCTGTTCAATGAACATCTGGTCTCTGCAAGCACCAACCCTGCCTTGGCCTTGCGCCGGAAGAAGCACACGGAGAAGGAGGTGCCAGCCGACTTGGTCAGCACCGTGTCTGTGCGGCTTCGGGAGGGCTACAGCGTCCGAGAGGTCACACTGGCCAAAGGTAAGAGTCACTCAGCCCTGCAGATCTTACAGATCCCACAGATCTCTAAGCATTGTATATGGTAGAACCTGCAGAACAAAGCGGAGGTCACACACACACACACGTCTCACTCTGGAACTATGCGTGGAGCCTTAGGCCAGGCTAGAGTTCCATGAGGTGAGGCTTTCAGATAGGACTCAGTCCCAGGCCTGGAGTCCTGTACCTTCATCCCCTAATGGCCCTCCTGCTTCCTTGGAAGGAGGGTCCCAGCTGGAGGTGAAACTGGTGCTGCTGTGGAAACACAACATGCGCATCGAGTATGTGGCCGTGGCACCCTGGCCCCTGGAACCTGAGGGCCCTCGAGGAACACGGGTGGAAGTGACAATGGAAGGCGGCTATGACATTTTGCACGATGTGTCCTGTGCACTGAGGCAGCCCATTCGTTCGCTGTACCGTACCCACGTTATCCGACGTTTCTGGAACACGCTGCAGAGGTGAGTGAGGCCACCACTCACCGACGCCCTGTTTGTTATGTGGAAGGACAGATGTGTGGCGCTGGGAGCTGTGTCCAGGGTCCCATGTTCCCCAGATGCGGTTCAGATTGGCCCTTGTTCTACAGCATTAACCAGACCGACCAGATGCTAGCCCACCTTCAGTCCTTCTCCTCGGTGCCGGAGCATTTCACACTTCCTGACAGCACCAAGAGCGGAGTGCCACTCTTCTACATCCCTCCCGGCTCCACCACCCCGGTGAGTGACTCTGGTGCTCCATACCCCGTTTCATGGCAGCCTGGATTGAGGCAGCATCTGGAGCCCAGAACCACCTTCCGTTCCCTTCTCAAGTCTGAAGCACCCAATCCAGAATCCTAAGCCTTAGCCTTGAAAGCATCTCTCCTCCTTCCTCCTAAGGCCTCAGGGAGGAGACAAAGTATAAAGAGAGGCTGTCCTCAGCATACCATGGAGGGCAGAGGTAAAGAGTTACAGAGTGTCCGGGCACTGGTATCCCCGCAGGTGGCGAGCCCCTCCCCCATCTCCACGTGGCACACTCCGGCCTTTCCCCAACTACCTTCACTGTTTGCAGCCACTGTGAATTTTGTACTTCCTGAAGACCGCCATGGCCTCTGTCCTGTGCTCTCTTCACACTCAGCCCACAGCTGTCAGCCTAGCTCTTAGGGCATGTGGCTGATGCCTCATCTTGAGGTCCTGCCACCGCACAGTGGCATTCCTCCAGAGTCAGTGACGGGACTGGGCAGGGTCTACCCTGCTCCTGGTTCAGCTGTCAGGGCTGCAGTCTCATCCTGGGCTCACCCACCCTGACCTGCCCTCGTACTATAGCACTTTGTGCCTGTTTCCGTGACCTGAGTCTGCCTGTGGTTCTGTCTGCTGTTCAGAGGCTGTTTGGTCCCCAGGTTCTCCCAGGTGCTCCTACAGGCTGTCCTCCTGTCCCCAGGTGCTCTCCCTTCAGCACAGTGGTTCTGACTCCTCCCATGCCCAGTTTGCTGCCTACTGGAAGCCAGTGCTGTCCATGGATGCTAACTCATGGCAGCGCTGGCTGCACATGCATCGCCTGGTGCTGATCCTGGAACACGACACGTGGGTACCGTCAGGGCAGGGCCAGTTGGGGCGCAGGAGCAGGGCGGGTGGAGGATAGGGGATGACAGGAAGGGGGCAGTAATGAGCCCTACCAACTGTGCCTAAGGAAAAACTATGGCCCTGTCCTGGTCTTCCTGCTCATCAGCCCCTCTAACCTCAGGCAGGGCTTAGGAGGGAGAGGTAGCGATCTATTCTTTCCTGCCCTGATTGGGGCTAGAAGGCTTGACCGCATCCACACCCTCTGCCTAGGCCAGTCCCCAAGCACTTACACACCCCGGGAAGCAATGGACGCTACAGCACTATCCAGTGCAGGATCTCACACTCCTCGCTGACCTCCCTGCTTCGGGACTGGAGCAGCTTCGTGCTGGTTGAGGGCTACTCTTATGTCAAGTTGCTCTCCAGGTAGGCAGGGTGATGCCCTCTCCCTCTCCCTCACCACCTCACCCCATATCTCCTCCTCTAACCCCAGACCTCACTCCTACTTCCTCCTAAACATATTTACTCCTAATCTAGAACTCCTCATGAACTTTCTCCCCAGTGCCCCAGACCAGCCCCCTTCCTCCTTCTACATGGTCCGCATCATTTCCAAAGCCCCATGCATGGTTCTCCGCTTGGGTTTTCCTATTGGCACACCAGCGCAGGCCCGGCACAAGGTGAGCTGATCCCTCACTGACCCCACAGGACCAGGCCTGGTAGAGAGAGGAACCCCAGACCAAGTACAGCCTTGAGTAGAGGGGTCCCTCACCTTGTCCGTAACCCCTACCTCCAGACCGGCCGGAGATGGGAGCAGGCAGGTCTGACCACATTTTCCCCTCAGATTGTGTCGGGCTTGCGGGAAGAGATCTTGCGCCTACGTTTTCCTCACCGGGTGCAAAGCAAGGAACCCACACCAAAGGTGAAACGGAAAGGGCTTGGAGGCGCTGGTGGGGGCAGCTCTCCCTCCAAGTCTCCCCCCATGCTGGGGCCACAACAGGCCTTGTCTGACCGGCCCTGCCTTGTGGTTCTGCATAAGCCACTGGACAAACTACTCATCAGGTTGGTATGGGGTGAGGAGGGGCCCAGTAACGTGTGGAAGGGGTGTGGTTTCAGGTCTGATAGCGATCTGCTGGAGAGTTGCCCCATTTCCCAGGTATGAGAAGCTACCCCTGGACTACCGGGCACCTTTCCTTCTGACACTGGAACCACCAGGGCCCC